AAAGTAATGAGTTTTTATAATGTTAATGATGTTATTGTAACCCATTGCACCAAAATTAACCTCCTGTAATAGCTCGGGAGCTTAGTTGGCCGCTCGCCGTCGTGTTCACTGGACTGGAAAAGCGGATCGTTTAAACCGAGTGTTGAGATTTTGATTGAACTCCGCTGAAATCTATGAATGCGATCGAATAAAAAAAGTTTCCAAGAATCAATATTATTTTATTTGTATTTTTATTTTATTTCTTATTTTTGCCAAAAAATTTACTGAAGTCGATGGAAGAAGGGTAAGTCAAGTTATTCTATTTTTTTTTCAACAGCCGTCAACATTAGAGACGGAGGTCACCGCGATACTTTAGCTTCAGTTCTGAAGCGGAAATTTCCTCTCTAAAAACGACTAGTTTCTCCGCCTCGAGAAACTTGATCATGTAATTTGGCAAGCGAACATTTCATTGACCATGAACTTCAGTGCCGCTGCACTCAAGTCTTGGTCCTGGTGAAAGAGTCTCGCACTAGGCCTTTCACAAGCAATTTGCATTTGTTATTAATGAAAGTATTTTAGTTTCTAAGCTGCTACAATAAATACTATCATTTGCGCACTGAAATAACAACCTCACTTTTACATTGGAATAAATAACATATAATGAATGTAATATATTAATAAATTAAATATAAATGTAGTAAATAATATAACAATAAATGTTGGTTTACCCTACATTCGTTGCTAAGCGAAAGGTTTAGCTCTATAATTGTGTTCACGTAACTTCGTAAAGTAACCTTGCGACCGCTAACCTTCTTGTGTTGACTATGCAGCTTTCAAACTCTGTGATCCAATCACCTCCCCCCCTCAAGATTGTCTGGGGTAACCCCATGACATTCCCCTCCCCTCCCTCACTTGTACCCCCTGCTTATTTTCTCGTTTTTCTCTTATCAGGCATTGTCTGCTTAGGTTTTGTGCTTGGGTTTTTGCTGGCGCCGACTTTGACAGTTGAACGCAAGTGGTGATGGATAGACAGTCGTCTTCACTGCAGTAATGTTTCAAAGATAAAGAAGTTTATTATGTATGATGTATTCATAAATTTTATTTGAAGATAGTTCTTTTTATCATAGTTTTTTATGTGTTGATGATATGTCTAATTTTTACACGCATGTATGAGAGTTTCCTATCTTTGCTTCCACATTTTCCATCTTTTTCTCTTGTTTGCCTTTTTCCTACTCAAGATTTTGGTATATACTCTCTCGCAGCCTTCACTTCCCCTAACCCCTCCTCTCAACAGCCCTCCCCCAGACACAGGCACCGCAGTCGGCCGCCGCTGCCGCAGGCTCTCAGTGGCTATTCTTGTAATCCATTTAATTATGTACCATAATCCCACTACTCGGGGGTTTATATTTGAGCTTTGGATTTGTACTCTAAAAATTATATTATTTTTGTCTTTACTTATTCGATGTGTATTTAGGAAAATTTTTTGCGGTGTTTATTGGTAGTAATCTGAAGAAATACTAAGGTACTTCACCAATTCAGGGTCAGCAAAATGAAATTTGTCGATAATCAGAGCCGGATCAGCGCCGGCCGCCCCTCGGCCGTTGATCGGCCACCCAGGCACCGCCGCGTAAATTCTCGACTCTATCATAAACCGGCACCCGGTAACGCTCGTTACTTATACATCAATACAATTTTTTTGTAAGGTCCGTGCCGTCCTTTGTTTTTACTGACGCCCGTAAATGCCTAACGGTGGAGTCTGGCCCCGACAGGCTGCCTTGCCGTGCCATGCATCACTGCAAGCCTCAAACTTGCGCTAGTGCTTGCATGAGTTATGTTTTCATATTGCATAATGATTTGGGTGCCCATGGAGATATGTTACGTGTTAGAGTCTAACGCCTACTTTGTAATCTTACTTCATCCCTAGCCAAGAAGCTGTTCTGTTGCTTGAGTTATGTATAGAGATTTCGTATTGATTTGGATGTACATTCATCCATGTGTGTGAGTTTAATGTTCATTTCGAATCATAATAGGTTGGATGCATACACATTCTGTTGAATGAATCTAACCTTATTGCATAATTTGGGAGTAAGCGCAATCATATATATATAAAGATCTCAACGAACGAGCAATTTTAGCAAATTAATTTTAACTTTTAATCCGCATAAATGTTTACTGCCTATAACTCGAGACAATCCGCCAACGATTTGCTGTTGGTGTTGCGAGTCACTTACCTGAAGCCAACCGTTAAATTCTAACAATGAACGTACTTAATTACTTTCACTTGACCCCTTAAAGAATCTTGCGCCAATTGTCCCTCCCGAGAGACTTGATTTTACCAGCTCTTATAAAAATAATTGTGCCTATAGGTTATAAGTTTGGATGAATGTAGCGCATCTTTTAAAAAAGTAATTTTGTAACCCACGAGACAAACGTCGTTGAAACAATATTGATTAAGAGTTGATTTAGTTGAAGCTACGCTTTATATACTTGTTTCGATGTTATGGGTCTGTTGCGAAGTAATATATTTCGCTGTTGATTACTTGAGTCGAGCTTCAAAACAAGGGCAGGTCTCTATCATGAATAAACTCACGCTTAATTCAACCCCTCGTCTAAGGCTGTTACGATAACTCAGCCCCAAAGTGATAACACCCATCACGTTTTAGGTTGGGTTTCTTGGAAATACTAAACGTTTTGCCTTAATCAGGGGTCAACTTTCCCTGAAACGCGCAAGCATATCAAACATCGGCGCAGCTCCCAAGAAGATACGTATACGTGGTTCATATCTCGAATCTGATCTTGATTCACTAACGCTGGCACAAACTTTATTTGGCTTAGCCAGCGGAGGGATTGAGACGCATTTGGATTTTATGCTTTAATCGCACCTCAAAACGCAGTGGATCTGAAAATAATGACCATACAAAGGAATCAAAAACTAGGTAAGTATGATTGAAAATTAACAAAATACCAAATACGATCACAATGACAAATATGGCAATAAGGAAGAAACTTCTTGAATTCATCACGAAATTAACTTACATATGTGCTTGGCCCTACTTTCCTGAATCAGAATGAAAGATTTTTTCCACCTTGGAATTTCCGTCCCTAATACACTGAACAGTTTTACTAGCACACTGAGTGATAGCTGCGGGCTAGTCATCGTGCGTCGAGATAAGGAACATAAATGTGCATATAACCAAGTCATGATATTTCTCAAGTAATATTTCATAATAGTATATTCAAAAATTTAGAAAGGACATAACACCAAATAACCTAGTCGTCGCACGTGTCGAGATAAAGAAAAACTGACGTGCGAGATGTGGCGGCTAATGAATGGTTCCTATAGAGTGTTGCCACTAGGTGCATGAAGAAAAATACACATAAAGAGAGCTTGATACTAGACAGAAAAAAAATCCTGTTGCACAGGACATTCACTATGATCGAGTTGCTCAAATTTTCTACCTAACCAAAAATTTATATTACTCTGTAGTCTGAATTTCTGACTTATTTTGGTATCTTAAACTTGTACATTTCCCGCAGGTTAACCGTTTGCGGCTTTGAATAGATAACCTGTAATTAATAGCATCGGCATGACTATCTAGAGAAGTTTTGACATTAATATTAAATTCTGATAAATTAGCTTTCAGAGCCGAGTTTTTCGTGCATCTATATCCATTTAAATGTAGAATTTACGATCAAGGAATTTCTCCAAAATGTAGATTTTCTTGACTTTTCTATTGTATTGTAGATTTTTTTTTTTGACTTTTAAATTTATGGGAAATGTCCATGAAATGTATAATTAATTCAACAACAGCATTGAATTCAACTGACGCACAGCGCTATAACGATCGAACCCGCACCTTTCTGCTCCAATCATGGTACTCTGAAATGTAACCACTGGGCCACAATATAATCAAAATATTTGGAAAATATATTAATGGAAATCATAGATAACTTTGGGGAAAGTGGGTAGGAAATTTATGTGAAGCTGTTTTGCTTTGCCATGCAGCGTGTCCATCTTTATGGGCACTTTGTACAGGCTTTGCTAGTGGCATTTTTTATTTCTATATTAAATGATTTCTATTAAATAAAAAGCTATCATTCTCATACCTGCACAAATTTATACCATAATTCACGGAGTGTTCACATAGTTCATGAAATGAAAACTTCCGTCATGAATTATCGAATGCTTTTCTTCTTTACGATGCTACTTCGTCCACAAATTCAGGCCTATCTTGATGCACTTGCTATAGTACTTATCTTCCAAAAGAATAGAACTCAAACAGTCATATTTTAAGCTAATTTTTTAACCAAGGCTCTAGCCTTATTTGTGCCAAATCGTCAGCGTGCGATCCACGACATTATTTCTAACAGGAATCATTTTTCTTACTTGATACTTTATTTCAAGGGCCTTGAGAAGGTAACTTAATTGGTGCGAGTAACGCGCTCGTTCGTCTTCACTCAATTGCGTCCAGTATATATGAGCACGCGCTTCCAGTGCTGCCGTGGGCTATGGAGAGTTTGTTTACGTTCTATGAACGTCGACTCTTGTTTACGTTTTATGAACGTCGACGTTTACTGACGTTCTCGACGTTTGTTGACGTTCTAATGCGTGCTGGCTTTAACGAGCTAGGCTGGGTAGGCGTTTTGTTTGCTCTGTCGATCCAGGTGTTTACAGCGAGTTATGAGATTATTTCAGTATTATTAAGTGCGATGTATGACACTCAAAAAGAAGCGTGAAATGCGGTAATAAAAAAAGTGTCGTACCATTTAAGTGAGAATGTGCCCAAAAAACGGACATTAATAACAAACATACCCTAAATTGACATTTTTTCCATTCTATGCTTCTCGTGGTCCATCGCTTTTTTTTAAATACGCTCATGCCATCTCTATAATCCATGATTATTGTAAACATCGCTGTTACTGATGGCATATAAATCCTCACCGTAAGATTTTCGCCCTTATTGATCATTGTAATTATTTTATATATAATATTTCCACGATAAAATTCCAATAATTTTCAGGTGCGTTCTTGATCCCGTACCTGATCATGATGGTGCTGGAGGGCGCCCCGCTTTTCCTCATGGAGCTCGGCATCGGCCAGAAGATGCGCATGGGATCCTTAGGCGTCTGGAACAACATCAGCCCCTGGTGGGGCGGCATCGGCATCGCCTCCACCATCGTCTCCTTCTGCGTAGGACTCTACTACAACGTCATCATTGCCTGGTGCTTCTACTATCTCTTCAACTCGTTCCTGGTGAGCATCATCTTATCATCGCCTGGAGCTTTTCTTCATTCGTTCCTATTGAGCACCAAACCAATAAACGAACATATTGCACTTATATGCCTCTTATATTAATGGATTAGCTGAAATCTGTGTTACTTCCACCTGTAGTTATTTTGTCAATTGAAAGGGAAGGACACTTTCAACTAATTTCGCGAAATCTTTCTCGATAAAAAGGGAAGTTCTCTTAACGATGGCACCTTCTTCCATAGTTACTCACTTCGAATTTATCTAGAATATTTTTATTTTTGTCTTAGAACTTTATTTGATCACCATGCTTCTCTTTTGTATATAGTTTATACAGTAGTATCTTATAAAATCAGGTATCGTACTTTAAATAATCAAATATCGGATTTCTTAAATAATCAAATGTCGTGTGTCTTGTATAAAATGTTTTATCCCGTAAATATTTGTACATCTCGAAAATATTTGTATATCGTATCTCTTGAACATTCAAATATCGTATCTCATATGAAATGTTTTATCCCTTGAATATTTGTACATATCATCTGTATAATATTTGCAGAGTCCGTTGCCGTTCTCGAGTTGTCCTACGGAGGCCGTGGGCAACCTGACGGTACCGGTAGCGGAGTGCGAGATGTCCTCGGAGACAGCGTACTTCTGGTTCAGGCAGACCATCGATGCTGGCGACAGCATATCAGAACCTGAAGGTATTATATAATACTTACCTTCATCATTAGTTTGCTTAAATTTATAGGTAACCGTATGCAAGTATTGAGACCATTTATTTGATTGAACGTCTAATCAAGCAAGAATTCAAATCACTAGACTTTACTATGATTTCATTGTTGAAGACATGGTGAATTTATTTTGAGATTTTCACTTTCTAACTCCGAAGGCACTATTTTTACTTGCCGAGTGTATGATCCCAACAACTGTTATTTGCCACTTTGGACTGAAAGCTGAACTGCTCTTAGTCTGCGTATGCAAAACTGTTTTGTGGATTGCATTTTTTATTTTAGCGCATTTTCTCATTTATGGAAAAAATGCACTATTGTGCTCGTCATGTACGTTTGTCTGTCCGTCCGTCCGAGACTTCACGTTTTCGTCGACAAGAAAATGCGCTTTCTGTCACTCACTGCAGTGAGTACTGAGTTATATTTTTGTTTATTAGGAAGAGAAGGCAAACGATTTGTCTGAATGAAAGCCTTGCGAATCTAATAAAAATGTCAACGTTTTCTTTCAAAAAACGAACAATAGATCCACTCTCTGGACTTGTAATGAATAGAACATTGTTGGTATTTTGGGATACGTGTAGTGTTCAGACTCTTCGTCTAAAAAGTGTTTTAATAACCCTTACAAAAATCCCGTTACTGTTATCTCGATGTTATGTTTTCATGAAGAAAATATTACACTTTTATCCGTTCCCGTCCTTTCTTGTGTCTATTTATTTTTCGCTTGATATTAATCTTATGTGTGACGTGCCCTCGAAGTTCGTTTGAACCAGACGCCACGATAAATGCTTCGTAGAATAATAATAAGAATTAATATAATCATAATAATAACAATAATAGTAATAATAATTTTAATATTAATGTTAATAATAAAGTAATAATAACAATAATAATAATGATAATAATTGGGTGCAGGTATCAGGTGGTGGATGGCGCTGTGCCTGACGCTGTCGTGGCTGCTCGTGTGGTTCTGCATCATGCGCGGCATCCAGTCTTCCGGCAAGGTAATTATATGCTTAATTACCTTGCAATATAATTATTAATAATTATTATGAATAATTAATAATAATTAATTGTTATTATATTACTTATTGATAACAATTATTATTATATTATACTACCTTACCTACTCTTCTGTAGATTTATTACTTTGTGCTAATCATAACCTCATAAGCTTCCGGCGAGGTAATTATATGGGAATTACCTTGCATCTTAATTAATAATAATTATTATGAATGTTTAATAATAATTATTAATTATTGATAATATAATTAATTATTAATAATAATTATTAGAACATATATTACTTTGTATCAATCGTAACTTCATGAGCTGCACATTGTTAATAGATTTTTTATTAGTCACTGTGATTAATGAGGAACTTGTAATTAATAATCAAATTAGTGGGAAGTACGGAACTCATTAGTACCAGGTTTTTCTTCCCAAAAAATCGTATATTTTGATGCACATGTCTGTAAAAAGTGGTTATGCAAGCAAAATATTCTTATAAATAGAAGTACCTATCTGATTATGGCTTCAACTACCTGTGAAACAAATATTATTAATTTAAAGTACATGAATAGCATCAGATTGTCCAACAAAATCCTATAGTCAGCTATATACCGTATCTATATGTCTATATTTTAAATTATATTCATATGATAAAATCTGACTTATTTCTATTATTGCGGTGTAGAATAAAGTAGAAACGATTCTTAACCTCGCAGTATCGCTAATAGTAGATCGATGTACCTTAAGAGCAGAAGATTATTTATAACCTATTTGTATTACTTTGTTGTATAAAGACAATCTCAACATGCATTTATTATTATTATTATATTTCTTCCTATGGAGAATCTTTCCCTACGAGGATTAAATGTTTCGCAGGAGAAATTAATGAATTGCTGACCTTGTCTACCGCCCATTTATTTATTTATAAAATTATAGCGCAATTTAAAATAATTCTACTGGCTCCCTGACTTAGTATCTTTTGCCGCAGAAAATTTGAAAGCAGAGAAAACGCCGAGCAAATTCACCATATCGATATTGAAAACGTTTTCAATATCGATATGGTGAAGTTGCTTGAAGTTTTCTTTGCTTTGAAAACGTTTTCAAAATGGATATGGCGAATCTGCTTGACGTTTTCTTTGCTTTGAAAACGTTTTCAATATCGATATGGTGAATTTACTTGTTTTTTTTTTTTTTTGCTTTTAAATTCCCCGTGAACTTGCGATATAAGCAGATTGATAATATATGTACTTCTGCCGCAGGTTGTGTACTTCACAGCCCTCTTCCCCTACATGATCCTCATCATTTTCTTCGGGCGCGCTGTCACCCTGAAGGGAGCGGGCGCTGGTCTCAAGCACATGTTCACGCCTGATGTAAGTCACCCTCTCGTGTTATTGCTGTAAAGCTGTTAACAACAATGTTAACAACCACTGTTATCAAACAATGTTAACAACAATGTTATCAACCACTGTTATCAAACAATGTTAAGGACAATGTTAACAACCACCAACCTCCGCTGTCAACATCTATTTGTGGTTTTATTATCTGTCACTATTCGTAACTTAAGACGTGTTACTATAGAGGTAGTTATTTGAACGTCTTGTAGGTTTGAGATGTTTCTTTAATGCTGTTTGACAAATTTAATCTTTTTTTAATTTATCCTATAGTTATTGCATTCAACATGGGATATGATTTGAGAAAAGCACTGAATCTAACCCAGATGAGACATTTGAAGATCGACTTTCATTTACTAAAATACATTTTTTCCTTTAATCTACCGTTGCTATATTAGGAATTATCAAAGTATCTTTTACATGCACCGGAAATGCACCAATAGCTTAAGCCCTATACCTTACTTGGCTCTTGTTTCTTCTGACTTAAAAATTTTGTAGATGTCAAAACTGCTAAACCCGAACGTTTGGATGGACGCAGCGTGCCAAGTGTTTTATTCTCTGGGCCTGGCGTTCGGTTCCCTGATCGCCTTCGCCTCGTACAACCCCATGAAGAACGACTGCAAGAGGGACGCTATCTTCATGTGTGCCATCACCGTCTTCACGGCCACCTTCGCAACCATCGACATCTTCGCGGTGCTCGGCTTCAAGGCCGTCGCCAACTACGAGAAGTGCATTCACCAGTGAGTTGATAGGGCATTTACTAGTGAGTTGATATAGTGCATTCATCAGTGAGTTGATAGTGCATTCACCAGTGAGTTGATAGGGCATGTACTAGTGAGTTGATAGTGCATTCACCAGTGAGTTGATCGGGCATTTACTAGTGAGTTGATAGTGCATTTACTAGTGAGTTGATAGTGCATTCACCAGTGAGTTGATAGGGCATGTACTAGTGAGTTGATAGTGCATTTACTAGTGAGTTGATAGTTCATTCTACAGTGAGTTGATGAATCTATACAACAGTTTTATTTTCGTTCAATTTTATTTGTTAGTGTTAAGCGAGTGTTAAGCGTCAAACTCTTACTTAGAAGCCTGGTAGACTTTTATTATAATTGGGCCACAGCAGCAATAGTGCAATGAGAGGGTAGCTATGAAACACAATCTGCTTAAATATGAAATTGTACCGAAGAAAAATGTACATTGTAACGTGAACAAAACTTTTGATTTTCATCAAAATGACCGAAAAACAATAATCTGTAGCGCGGTCCCTTAAGAGATACGGTTGCCATGTCGCTGCCGTATCTATCATGAACGTCCACTGCTGTTACTATGACCGTATGGTCATAATAAGCAATATATAATAATATAATTAATAATATTAATTATTTATTATTAATCTAACCTATGACAAGTAGCAATATTCGCGGTCACAGCCTCTGCATCTCAAAAAATTGATTGTCTTCATAAATACGTAGTCTCTTATCCCATTTTGTTAATATAAATATAACTTCATGGCCGTAGAGTTTCTTGTGGTTGTGCTTCCAGGCGAGTGCTACTGGTTCTATCGTACTCTGTAAAAAGGTTTTAGAGACGTCAAGATGATAAAAGGTTAATCATCAAAGTTAATTACTGACGGTTAATCGTAAGGAATCGTAAAGGTTATTATTAAATCGTAAAGGTTAATCATCCAAATGGTTAATTTATCAAGATGATAAAAGGTCAAGGACGTCAACAAGATAAAAGGTTATAAAGACGTCAATCCCAGATCACATATTAGTATCGTACTCTGCACTTACGGTCAAAACCAAGGTTTTGACCGTAACTTGTAAATTTTTGATATTCCGATTCAAGAATCTTATTGTAATCAACAAACCTACAAGCAAGTTTCTCACAGCCATCTTTTCTCGATCCTCCGGCCAACGACCGCTTTTGTTATCATATATGCAGACCGCCAACAACGTTATCATATATGCAGACCGTGCTTGTGCAGCGGAGTCTTCAGGAGAACCTTCACTGGCACGAACTTTGATCGTTTTACGGACGCTTACAATGTTTGAATATACCTCACTCTGCCCTTACACTGTACACATAATGCCTTCACACTGCCCTCGAGCTGCCTTTACGCAGCCTTCACGGAGCCCTCATAATGCCTTCACACTGACCTCACACTGCCACATCAAACTTACTCAGAAATTTCAACACCTGCACTCAAACTATCATTTGAATTTTTAAGTTCGTGTACACAACTGTTATTGTTATTCTCCTCGAGCTATTGATAAATTGAAATTGATGTAAACGCCTTGATTTATGCAACATCCGTTTTTGGTTTACTCAGCCATGTTTTGTTAATGAAATTAAATTAATGCAAGCGTACATACAATTTTACATCCGATGGCCCAGTGGTTACAGTTCAGGGTACCAGGATTGAAGCAGAGAGGTGCGGGTTCGAGACCACAACAAGCTGTGAATGTTCTGCTATGATAAGAACCGGCGACAGGCCTACGGCCTAATAAACGCTGACACGGCTACTCTAACAAAATTTAGAGTCGCCCCAGCTTCTGGTTCTCCAAATCAAAAGCTGACGCGCCTGTAAATTTCCATTGGGATATATTTGAACGTATTCAAAACATCATTTAACATGTATTAATGTTTCTACAGCAATACAGCAAAGCTGGCAAGTATACTGGACCAGCTGCCGGTGCACACTCGTAATATCAACGTCACAATCGACAATTATGAAGAGACATGGCCCGACCTCCTGCCGCACATACAAGATATTTATGAGAACCAAACGCACCAGCACTTCCAGCACTGCAGTGTCGAAGAGCAGCTTAATGAGGTACTCTCTTAGATTATTTTCTGCTTTAAGTATTAAGATCATTTGGCTGCAGAAGTCGCAAATTTACCAGGGATTTAAAAGTAAAGAAAATAGCCAAAAAGTTCACCATTTCTTATAAGAGAAAACGTTTCGGAGTCCAGCTCCATCGTCAGTTCAAAACCTAGTACACAGGTTTTTTCTGCTTTGTTTCGGATCTTTGTATTACTTTAAACCTAGTTTTAATTATGTACCTATATGATGAGGAAACATATTTTAATGTTTGTTGCATTTGAATTTTCATTTTTTATGTTAGAAACATTCCGTTTCATCTGTATCTACCTATAAGATCCAATTCACAAAAGTATTCATCTCCTTCGACTATCTCTGGATTGTCACCACTGCATTGGCAGCATAGTTCATTGCTTAATCTTTTCGTTCGTTTAATTATATTCGTACACATAACACAGATGCGTGCATCCGTTTGTTTATGAAGACGTGACTATATTGTCCACACAGGCGCCTGTGTGCTCGCATTCCTTCGTGTAAACACGAATTTACTATTCACACAGGCGCCTGTGTGCTCTTTTTCGTTTGTGTATACTCAACTTAACTGTCCACACAGGCGGCTGAAGGCACCGGCTTGGCATTCATTGTATTCACACAAGCCATCGTGGAGTTACCGGGCAGTAACTTCTGGTCCATAGCCTTCTTCATGATGCTGCTGGCGCTGGGTCTCGGCTCTCAGTTCGGCACCATGGAAGGCGTCATCACCAACCTCTTCGACATGAAGATCTTCGCGCGTGTTAGAAAAGAAGTTCTTACGGGTACGTGGAGACTAACAGGATGACTATTGCTTTTTATTTCTAATGATTTTTTTTGTAATTTTAATGAATTTTTTATTTCTTCGACATGAAGATTTTTGCTCGCGTCTGGAAAGAAGTTCTTACGGGTACGTGGAGACGAACAGGATAACTATTGCTTTTTCTTTCTAATGAATGCGGCCGGGAAAATGAATTTTGTTAATTTTAAGGAATTTTTCCATTGAATTTTAATGAATTTTTGATTTCTTTGGAGTTAATTAAGATCTTTGCTCGCGTCAGGAAAGAAGTTCTCACTGGTACGTGGAGACGAACAAGAAAAGCTCAATTTCTATGGATTGGAGTGTTCTAAATTCTTGTATTCTGGGTTAATTTTTTTAATATTGCCGTATAAAATGTAGTTGAATTGCCGATGGTAATTCAAAGATGACTGATTGTGATTTTATTCATGGGACAACTATTGCTTTTCTTTCTTAGCTGAAGGAAGCTCAATTTCTTTGGGTCCGAGTGCTGTAAACTTTGTATTCTGGGTTAATTTTGTTCGAATATTGCCGAACAAAATGTTATTGAATTGCCGATGGTAATTCAAAGATGACCGATGTGGTTTCATCATTGCCACAGTTTTTCACGCGGAAAATGGTTTTTGTTTCTCTGAACTTGGTGCTATTTTAGGCTTGAATTTTACCTCCAAATTTATTCTGCTTCCTTGCTCTGTCCAATCGCTTGTTTATGAAATCTTTGTTAGAGAAGCGGTGTCCTATTTTGTCCAAGCTATTTGGCTCTTCTTCGTTATCTTATTGAAATTATTTCAATCTACTTAGTCACCTGAATAAGACCTATCGTTATAAACCCGTATATAACGATATAATATACCTATCGTTTTCTCGCAGCCTTAATTCGACTTTAATTAAAAAAGTTATGGATACATATTCTAGTTTAATTACCTCATCTATTTAATGTAATTACCCTTATATTTTTATCTAATTAGCTATTTAATTACCTTACTTTCAATTTCATATAGCATTGTGCTGTATTATTTATGTGTGGTTATCTAATTATTTTACACGAGTATATGTATTTTTTATCATCTATTATTAAGTATTATTATATGGATGATGTATTACGTATACTATATATATTATATTATATTGTTATATAATTATTGCAAATTTATGATTATGCCAATCATTAACGTGCAGGCTGTGTGTGCTTGATCTCACTACTGATTGGCCTGATATTCTGCACGGGCGCGGGCGAATATTGGCTCATGTTGTTCGACACGTTCGCTGGGTCTATGGGCCTGATCTTCATCGCCTTCTTCGAAGTGATGGTCATTTCGTACGTGTACGGACACAAGAGATTTACGGACGACATCGAGAAGATGATTGGCCAGCGACCAGGCCTGTACTGGCAAGCAATGTGGCGCTTCATATCACCTCTCACTATATTCTGCATCGTCGTGTCATCCATCGTGTACAGATTCATGAATCCTCCAGAGTATCCTGCGTATAAGAAGGAACTGGTGAGTGGACAGAGTATCCTGCGTATAAGAAGGAACTGGTGAGTGGACAGAGTATCCTGCGTATAAGAAGGAACTGGTGGTGGACAGAGTATCCTGCGTATAAGAAAGAACTGGTGAGTGGACAGAGTATCCTGCGTATAAGAAAGAACTGGTGAGTGGACAGAGTATCCTGCGTATAAGAAAGAACTGGTGAGTGGAACTTGGGCAATCCGGGAACACGATATGAATGCGTGCTCTTCGGTTATAGTGATATTTAATTATTATTATTATAGGTAATTTAATTTTTATTGAATGATATTCAATTGTTTGCAAGGCATTTCAAGTATCTTTTATCCTGTGTATAAGAAGGAACTGGTGTGCAAAACTTACGTAATCCGGGAATACAATATGATTGTGGGATCTTTGGTTATAGTTAAATTGAATGATATTTTATAGTTTGCAAAACATTACATGTGTTTTTAGGAAGCCTGTAAGCAGTTCTCTAATTAATAATTTATATTTTTTAACATATAATTTTATTATTGTTTTATATTTAATTTTCAAGTCACTAAATTTTTCCTTGTGACTCAGCCTACTAAAATCATTCATGAATTATTTTCGTATACAATCTTAATAATTTATCCCTTCTTTACTGTTTGTTAGTTTTTACTTTATTAAAATTTGCATTTACCTCGGGTCTTCCATCTTCGTTAATGAAAATTGCCTTTTCAATCATATTTATACGCATTCTACATTGTTAAAATTTGATTCTTTTCTTCTGAAAATACATCTTTAATATTTTTGTATTGCTCTTTCTTGCATTTCCAAGAGAGCAAATGGCGCTGTATTATTCATGTGGGGGCTGTATTATTCATGCACTACAGACCATAGGATTATATTATACATATAACACAGGCTATAGGACTGTATTATTCATGCATTACAGGCCATGGCTAAAATGGAGTTGTACCCGACATGGGCGATGTTCGTGGCGTTCGCGCTGCTGCTGGGGGGCATCCTGCCCGTGCCCATCGTGTATTTCATGCGCCGCTTCCAGTGCATCAGACTGGACTCTGACATCCACCAGGCATCCATCAAGAGGGTCGAGACCACCATGTCCACGCAGGGCATGATCAGGAATGAGGAGGTGGGTGCTCATCTAAATTGCTTTTTGCAATCGTATATTGGAAAAGAAAATCGCTTTTTCCAATCATATTGGAAAGGAAAATCGCCTTTTCCAATCATATTGGAAAAGAAAATTGCCCTTTCCAATCATATTTCTTTTTCATCTCATTCTTCATGGTTATGATTTGAAATTTTTTCTTCAGAAAATTCATCTTTAATATTTTAATAATAATATTTAATACCGTATATAATTTAATTTAATATTTTAATAATAATCTTAAAAACCAAATGAAACCCACATCAATATGTAGATGTCACTTGTGAGAAAACGTGTGTGTAAAGTTTGAATACTATCATGAGACATGCAAGTGAGATATGGACGAAAACCCGCAATTTTTGGTGAAATTTGATCAATTTTTCAAGAAAAACGATAATTTTATGCCGTTACAAATTTTATACCGACTTATGGGTGGCTGTTGAATTATCCCCTTAACATTATTTTAATATTTTTATATCCCTTTAAAAACGAACTCGAATGAAGTTGCGCTGAAACATAGACAGTTTTTGTTTGCACTTCTCGTACATTTTGTTCACAAGGTGCCAGTTTATAAAATTAGTTTTGGCCCCCTGATGTTCACCTTGCTTTTTTGACAATGTTCCTTATTTTTTTTGCTACCGCTATGCTAATTGTGTAATCTTACCTCGGCTATTTACAGACTTTTCTTTCTTGATATGTCGTATCGTAAACTGCCAATGTGGAGTCGTAATGTGCCTGCGTTCCATGCTGCTAGAAAAGTGCAGCCTGATGATTATAATGTTGTCGTATCCCCGTTAATCATGCGCCTTACTGTGACTAACCGATCAAAATTCGTAATTTTGATCGTAATTGATCAAAATTCGTACGCTTGATCGCAATTTTGATCGTAATCGATCATAATTCGTACGCTTGCCTTGTTGCCCTTCTTACTCTGTAACATTCTAATATCCTTTAGTGGGTTGACATACTTATTAACTTTATTCATTTTCACGAAAGACGTTCATTGCACAATAGGAAAGCAACGTTATATTCTCCACTAGTAGAGTTTGTTTAACAATAAAAAATGTTGTTAACAGATATACAATAAAATAGAACAGGCATCATTTTCTCGCACCGTTGCCTCAGCTTTCGAAAATTTCTATAGAATCGTTATCTTTTTGTGCGGTAATTCACCTGCTACTGTGTTTTTTTGGGCTTCAAGTTTGTGACCAGAATTTTTTGGGCTCCAAGTTTGTGAGTAGAATTTTTTTTAGGCTCCAAGTTTGTGACCAGAATTTTTCGGGCTCCACGTTTGTGACCAGAATTTTTCGGGCTCCACGTTTTTGACCAGAATTTTTTGGGCTCCAAGTTTATGAGTAAAATTTTAGTTATATTTGGATTGCTGATCATTGGCTCTACGGAGACTGCTGCATTTCTTTCTAAAACATTTATTTTCGTTATTTTACTTAGCAACACGACCAATTATTGTTCTCCTCTTATTTTCCTGACGTGACCATCACGAATGTGACGAATCCAACTCTAGACACGACGATGAATTTTTCCCCGTATGAATTACGGGGAAAATTAATGAATAATTCATTTTCATCGTAAATGAATTCCTGGGAAAATGAATGAATGTAACCGGGGAAAATGAATTAATCATTCATTCTCATTATAAATAAATTCCAAGCAAAATGAATGAATTATCCATTTTCTTCGTAAATGAATTCCAGGGACAATGTATGAATTTTACGGGAAAAATGAATGAATCTTTAATTTTCCCTGTAAATGAATTATGGGGAAAATGAATGAATTTTACCCAGAAAATGAATGAATAATTTATTTTCCTCGTAAATGAATTCCAGGGAAGATGAATGAATTTTTCCGGGGAAAATGAATTAAACATTCATTTTCATCGTAATTGAATTCCGGAGAAAATGAATGAATATCCTCGTATGAATTACGTTGGTCACTCATGTGACCAACGATGAAATTTATCCCTGTATGAGTGGGGAAAAATTCACGCATTACAGACAATCGATCCTCACATTTGTTCCTTCACAAAACCCTCGTATATGAACAATAAATTCCCATATACAATTTTTTCATCTACTCAAACAATTTGTTTAATTCGAACCAAATTGTTGACAATGTGGTCAGGTTCTCTGCTGAAATACCGTGTGTTTCTTCATGCTGGATCAGTGTTCCAATTTTTTTGTTGTTATCAACCCTAGTTGCAGTGTGCCAGTGTGTTGATTTTGAATATTTCACTATATTTGTTAAGAAGTTGGAATTATAATCTTTATTTAGTCATAAATTTGTGTAGACCATTGGTCTTGCTTCGCCATGTCGTATCGCATTTTCCCGCAGTTTATCTGTCACATAAAAGAAAGCGAATCGTCCGACTGCCTTTTTAGCGCATTTTCTCATTTGTGGAAAAATGCCCTATTGTGCTCGGCATGTCCGTCCGTCCGTCTGTTCGTCTGTCTGTCTGTCTGTCCGACCGTGACTTTACGTTTTCGTCGACGAGAAAATGCGCTCTCTGTCACTCACTGCAGTGAGTACTGAGTTGTATTTTTTACACTATAACTATATTTAATACATAACAATAACCGAGTAAATTATAGACACGTAAATCGCTTAAGACTTTGGATATGTAATATTCCATTTCGTTACAACGCCTTGGAACGTTGCAAGTTCATTTATTCTACGTTGGCGAGATTTTCATGAACAAGATTTTCCCTCAAGTTGTTTCCAAAGTTCTCAAGATCAAGATTTCAAGTTCTTTCAAGTCGTTCACAAGTTCTTTCTCTTCAGTTACAGCGGTGCGACACATCCGACAGTGACTGGACGAATCTCTTCTCGAATAGAGTAAACTCGGGCACCAGTCTCGACTCCTAGGGCAGGTTTGCGCTCCTTGTATTGACTCTGGTCAATCCTGCACTCCGGCTAGAATATTTGATTTATTCCATCATGATTGACTTTAGATTATTATAAATGATGATGATTTCGTTCATCATAATTTATTTTAAATTAGTATAAATTGTAAAGATTTCGTCCATCATAATTGACTTTAGATTATGATAAATGATAATGATTTCGTTCGTCATAATTGACTTTAGATTATGATAAATGATGATTTCTTCCATCATAATTGACTTGAGCACCAAGTTTCGAGGTGCTAAATTCTTTCAAATGAGCCTTAAGCAATTGCTAAATTCATTAATAAGATGAGAGATTTTATTATAAAAACACGCGCATCGTATAGAGTTGCTAATTATTTCATTTAAAAACAATTTTTTTAGAACGATTGAATTTTGTAGGTTCGTTGACGTTAGAAATTTATTTTTATATGAAGAAAAGAATCATGGAGTTGTTGGAAAAAGCAGCTTTATAATTTATTTTATCGTTGAACGAACTTCGCTGTTTTTAAAAATAAAGCTTCGTTTACGTTATTTTCCATCATCGTCATAGTCAAATAAACAATTGTCAACTTGTTAAACAACAACAATTTTAATAATAAACAGTTAATTTTGTTAATAAACTATTTTTCAACTTGTTAATTGAATTCCTTAAAGCGGCGCAAAATTTTGTATTTACAAGAAAGAAACGAACATTCGACTTACAGTGAAAAACATTCATTGCGATACGTTTTCGAGTTATAGGTACCTCGTAGCAAAGTACATCCCAATGAATGCATTAGTTTCCAGTCTAGCCGGAGTGTCAGAAATGGAGTGTCTTACTAACGACTGTGTCTTGGACTCACCCTCGTTAATTGCTGAATTATGGACTCATTAACTCTTAATTGGCGTGCCTAACCTCACCAATATTTATGTGACAATAACTTAGAAAGGTGTTTCTTTCAATTTTCTACTTTTTCTTTAAATTTTCTTCTCTTAATTTTCTACAATTTTCTGCTTTCTAGTTTTCCTTTGGTCTTGTTAGAGGACTGCTGTGTATTTTTTTTTTTTGCGTGTAATTATCTAACTTATTCAGAAGCTTTCTTATATTCCGCGAAGATCTCCAGACATGAATTAGTTGTCTACTACCTACAACAAAACAATTGACAATTTCTCGATCAGACGCGTGACTCTACAAAATCTCTTTCAATTATTTCGCTAATATTTTCTTGTATTTCGCGATCTATGAATCGGTGAACACCCACGTCAAGTTTTGCTTCGTGTTAGTTAATACATTGCCTTGTCATTCTCATCAAATCTTATTACTTGACTCATTATGTGGTTACATCGTTCCTCTCTTGATCTCAAGTTATCATCAATCATAACTAATATATTCCAACTATTCTTCTTTTCAATCTGGAGTCATACAATCTCTTTTATCATCTTTGTTCTTCATCCATTTATTACGATTATTGACTATTTTAAAGTTCCCCCTGTTTCATGTTTTAAATTCATAATAATTGTGCTAACATATATTACTACTTGCCGTGCGTTTTGGCTACATGGTTTTTAATTGTTCTGACAAGCGCCCACTCCTTCCATGCAACCCGCTCTCCGACAGGATCTAGTTGGAGAGGTCCAGTGTAATTGGTGTATATTGTGCCCCAAATACCTCCTGTGTGGGCTACTCACGTACAAAAATAACAATTATGAGGTAACTCATTCGAGTGACATTTCTTCTCAAAGTTATTGTTTTTAGTAGATGTATTTATCGTAGATTTTTCGTCCTCTCCTCTTGGTATAAGAGAGAAAGAGAGAGAGTTAAACACCGTATAAAGTTTCGATAGCATGATTTTAAATTAAATTCTACACTTGTTCCCGTTGAGCTCATCACGCACTCATCACAATTCTTAAGCTACAATGCATCTACAAATATTATTAATTTCGATCAAACGCTGATCTGACTGGCCGAACCTCCGCTAGTTTTCAATCCCCGTCCATTGTTCGCTCAAAGCCTTACTTTATTGAAAATTACAAATGAAAATAATATAATAATTATTATAGCTTTTTAAATTCGCCTGTGCTCTGTCGAAGGAACAATCAGTTGGAAACATTTTGCTAAAAATTTCTTCATCTCGAAAGTTATTATGTCGATATCAGTGTAATCGTCAGTTCTTTCGTACCAAAGTTATCTGAATTGTTGGAAAGCCACATTGAAGGTAAATTTTAATGCCGCTTCTGATCAGGCTTCACCATTAGCCAATCTCTGTAAAATGCTCTTCGGATCCCGAAAGAAATTGTACTGCACTTTCTCACGATGCACCAACGCCAGTTTTGTTCACATCTGACAAACTTATTTCGATTGAATTCATTTATAGCATTACATCATCGGATACATGAAAGGTCATTCGTCGGCCTCAGGCCATGTATGCGAGCGATGAATGTGTGAGTGAATGGCGTTCTGATGGCATTTTTCACTCACAATTTCCTTTCTTTTCACGCTGCACTCTTTGCACCTCATAGCTCCCCAGAAACGACTCGGGAGTCTGGACCGTTTATAAGTCGAGTGAGTATTTTTATTCCATTTCGATTTTGCGTTCTGAACAAGATGTTTACATTATTTTTTTTTAGACGGTATGGAAGAACCCAAATTTCAAAGAGATCATGGATTATAGAGAGCAAAATAATATAACAGCAAAAACATGCTACTTTGTGCATTCATCTTAGGAAGGATATATAAGCTAGACCACAAACATTTTAGACTTTATAAATAACGAAACTTTATTCCAGCTTTTAACGTTTTCTAAACATTTTTTGCATACCATCTTCTGGTATTAGGTTTCTATACCTTGTGTTCGTAAAAGGTCTACGTACTAATGTTAATGATAAAATTTCCAGCACACAGTTGCCAATAAGACAGCTGAGTATTTCACTCACTCAACGTTGCCTATTTCGATTAAATTTATTGAATCTCGCGTTTCATGCCCGAAACTTCAACTTTTGTTTTATTAGGACGAACTAATATTCGTCCTGAGACATTGCATCCGGAGCTTTATTGATGACTTCTTGTTATAATTACAGCGATTTAGTGCAGCTAATTGACACATCCACGATGCCAATGATGTGATGCGAACCTCATTCATCACTAACGCTGACTAAAGCGTCTGCAAATTCACAATAAATCACATTAGATAGCTCTTTAGCAAAGCATCTGCACATTCATCTTTTATAGCTCTTTTTTTACCGGGCAGTATGATATATTTGTCTAGCCTTAATTTCGAGAGATGTAAAGAAGTGCTATATCACCAGGCAAAAACTTCCTGGAAGGAATAATGTTCGAAACGTCAAAAGAAACTGCAGAGCGGCAGGCCGGTCAGAGCGCTGGTGCTAGAAGCTGTGCTGAGTGACGTGGTGGGCACTTAACTATTATTAAATTTAAATAGTTTATTATGCACGACACATCGACCAACTCATTACTTTATAAACATCTTCTGTTATACATAAATTCATCTTTATTCATCTGTCATACCCTATAACTGCTTTAAATCTCGTAGTGTGTCCTCGCATCCCTTATGAAAATAGTCAATAGTTAGTAATTAGGAGTTAGTAGTAGACTATTAGTGATCATGCTATGTAAACTTATACATATTTGATGTACATCCTTATCCCTTCTACATTTAGCCCAATTTGAAATTTTTAAATTTAATAACTGGACAATGTAAAGTGTCCAGTTATATATGTCGAATGACGATCAAAGTACCGTACGTTCACGTTAGTTATCAAGCGTTAATTACTTTGTTTACTTTATATACGTTTACTGTCAGGCGCTACTTTGTTTACTTACCGTACGTTAACTATCAGGCGCTACTTTGTTTACTTACCATGCGCTCAATATCGGGCGATTATTTTCTTAATATTCTGAAGATGCTTTTGATCGCTTTTCTCGATGAAAGGTTCAGTTTCAAGCCTTGTTTTAGAAATACCTTGAAAACTAAGCAGTTTTAGAATTCTGAATGCGAAGATTATTTAACAAGGCTGCAAAGTTGATGCAGTTTACTGCGTTGCCTCTGGTCTTGAATATATTCTGAAGCATATTACTTGTGTAGAGAACTCGATTATGATTGTGTAAAACTAGTGTTCGACAAATGTGCTGCAATTTTCCTTGCAGAGTCCTTCGATCTTAATAGATTATCGCTGCTGAATTTGAACGTTAGTTTTCCTGCAATTTTTTTATCCCCACCTTCGAAGAAAATACACAATCTTACCATGACAGTAACCACTTTTTACAATTACCGGACATTAATAGTTTCCAATTGTTTACAAAGCCTCGCGAATGCATGTTAAATTGTCTTCGACTGAATAAAAGAGAACATACACCCGTCCTTTTAATTACGACCGTCGACCAATAATATAAACGTATTTAAATTATTGTTTTTTAATTATTCTATTATTTATCTTTTTAATTTTTCTTTTTAAATACGACTAATAATTTAAATGTAGCTGCTAAAGCCTCGCCGTTCGTACGATCTGATGGAGGCTCCTCATAGTTTTGCATGTGTATTAAACATCGAAATCGAAAAACAATCCTAAAATCTGTAATTCGTATAAATTCGTACGTGATTCGTTGTGTCATTTTTCCTTACTATGCAAGTTGCGTACACAGAAAATCACACCGCTTATCTATTTCTGTATAAGAAATGCTTGTTTGTCGGTATACTGTTTATTATCGTATTTTATGTGATTTATATATAATTCAATTGCTTTTATCGCTTAGCACTACAACACATTCATTTCCTCCATGGGCTACCAGGCATTTTTTTGGAATGTTCATCATCCTGCACGTTACAGGAAGTTTGATTCCAAATATAGAGCACCTGTCTGTGATATCAAATGTAGCTCGACTATATTTCTTACTTTTTATTGCTTAATTATTTTAATTACTAATGCTTTCACGACTGCAATGCGCGTGCGATGGCGCTTAGCTCGCACCTATCACACTCTTTACTCTATACATAAAACAACGTCCTTATTTAAACTTCCTTTCTGTGACATCTATCATGTATTCTCAACACTTAATTTCCTTGGTTATATACAAATATGTGCTCATCTAGTGAGCAAACTACAAAACCTACATTTTGCTTCTAAAAAAACAAGTTATTACCGCAACAAAAGCTTACGTTTTGCTTCTAGAAAGCAAATAATTGAGGTAACAGAGGACTTGATAGCACCTCTTTTAACCAACTAGTATGATTTACCAGAGACTACTCAATTGTCTCCCAATTTTAACGGTCGAACGATGCCTAGTTTGTTATCCAGAGATATAATACCCATATCTTCCCTCAGGTTTATATAGATCAACTTCCAAATTCATTTACATTTGTGTTCTCTTCCCACTTGTTTTTTCTCCATGCGCTGAAGTATTCGTGGTCTTATTTTCATGCAATTTAATTTTTATATTTAATTATGCATCAACTCAAGTTTATGATGTTCGTTTTGCCCTAGTGTTTGTGATTTCGTAATTTCGTGATGTTTTGTGTGCTGTATGTGCTGTATTTAGTTCGTGTACCCAACTTTCTGCTACGAGTTTTGTTTATTGAAATAGTTGTATGATTGTGACTTTGTTATGCGATCTAATTTACGTTTTTTTGATAATCGTAAGTGGTGGCGGTAACGAGGTGAGTGATGGAGGATTTTCTCCTTTTTACATTAAATTTTTTCACTTTTATTCAATACGTCAATGTATAGCGTTAATACGCTATACATTTATTGTCTTAATTCTACTTGCTTAGTTTTCCAGGATAAATAATTACTGGTTAATACTTTTTCCGCAATGAATTTAACCCAATACTTCGTGTTCGATACTAGTTTTTCAATACTCTGTTCCCGATGCTATCTCCCTCAATATTTTAATCAATCCTTTTCTCTATTCACGTTTCCCAATGTTGTCCATACTCAATACTTTTTCCTCAAAAGATTGTTCTCAGGGCTCTCTTCTCAAGTCTTTGTTTACATTTGTGTCATAAATTGCCATATTTTATTCAGAATTTCCTCGTCCTCGAAATGAATTACCTTATTAACAAGTATCTCAACGATTTTTACGAATAACTTTACCCATGGAACGTTCCATCCATTTACTCGTCCAGGCAATTACCATGTCAATGTTAGATTAATTCACCGTCATTATTGCACAAAGTCAATCACCTACACTATCTGCCCTTCAAGTTTCTACTGTATCGCCGCTCTACATAAAACTTTTTGTATAAAAACTAAATTGAATTTTTGACGACAGCTCGACGAGTACCGGGATTCACCTGAGGAGGACGAAGAAGACCGCGGCCTGCAAGCTAACCCTAACAAGTTCCGTATGGAAGTCATCGATTAAATGCAAGTCTAGGACGCAGCCTTCGCATCGACTTGACTGATCGTGCGACATCTGGAGCTCAGAAGATGTTTTCATTATTGTTTAGAAGCAATTTGAGAAAAACAGATAGATGCATCAGGAAATTCATTCTATAGTGAATGAGATGTGAGACCGTACTCGTGAGCTGACGCTCTGGGATTTGTGTTATGGGTATAATTTAACTCAAAATCGGTCGTTTTAATACAGGTTTCAGCTAACACAATAAAGAGCTAACGGTAGGAAGCGAGCCTTGCTTATTTTCATGTATTTGTTTCAGAACGCAAAAGTCGCTTACCCATATCCCTGTCAAATGTACGAATCTGTTCTGTTAATATGATGAGAACAAATAGTTTATGTAGGCGAATTGGAAATAGTAGAAAGAGTGTTGAGATTTTTAGTTACGGTGTATATTCGTTCTCTAGATTTCAGATTAGATGAGTAATATATAAATAGTTTCATAGCGCATAGCTGCAGAGTGGAGTTTATGAAATGCTGTTCATTCTTGAGGTTATCATTGATGACTGTAGCTTGTATTGACTCTATGGGTCGAAATGTACGATGATGAAAAGAATGATTGGTCTGACTTTGTTTTGTTGATTGCTTGACTGGCTGTTGATTCAGTATACTATATGCCTCGACTTGGTTAGATATGTATTTAGAGGTAACGATATTCGACGTCAAATCGTGTTGCTATTCCTCAGGACTTGGACTAATTACGATATTAATCTCTGGCCGTGTGAAAATCAATTAAATGAAGCACTTTTATATGTTATTTGTCTGGTTGATAAACTTACTGCCATTAAACACGATTTTACTTCGCTTCCATGTACGACCACGCATTTGTTTCGCGCTGTAAACTTGTGGTAAAGTTTTAATTTCATTACTGTTCTTTGCTTGTTTAGATAACATAGGTTTTACTTCAGAAAAAGAAAGGAGTGAATGAGTTTTATCTCGTATTATGGACATCTTACCCTATTAGATCTTAGCAACGATTGCTATGAGTAAACACTCGATTAGTTAGTCATTCATCTGATATCTACATCGATATGATTCCGACAACCTTTCTACCCTCTGGTTGATCTGTTAGTAGGGAATATAAATAATGAATATAAGAATCTTATTCATCGTATTCTAAATACAAGCTCCAGTCGCTCAAAATTTTCAGTTCGTGATCATTGAGTTCTTGGTGGCATTCCTTATTAATGTCCATGAATTTCTTCAAGTAATATTACCGACTTGTGATAGACAAATTTGAACGAATTCGATACAGATTAGGAAGTTTGCAAAGCTGTATTGTAATCCAGTGAATATGAAATTTTAATGCGAATATTTTTGAAGTGCTTCTCTTGATTAAGTGCTTAATTTTAGTTAAGCTGCATAGAATAGTAATTCTGACAGAGAACAGGCTGGTGGGCGCATTTGTCGCCACAAGTCTTAACCCCAACTATAAAAAAAAATAGAATAGTAAGTGTACCCCAGCCGCTGTTATAGTGACGTACGTATTTATGAACTTGCCTACCGTTACTTATTTTCATGCCATGGAGGTGTAATTAAAAAATATACACAGTGTACGACTTATCAATAGTTCTCAAAATCAGGGGGTTTAATTGCGAAAGTCAAATATTTTTCTGGAAGTTACTATTTCTACTCACTTTCTAGTTTCGTATAATATAGATCACTTGAACGAGTTCGGACTCTGAAAGTTTATTCATTCTTTTAATGAATTTGTATCTCTCTTATCTATGAATCTCTTAAAGATCATATCACGTTGCCTAAACTCATAAAATTTTGTGAATATTTTAAATTATAAATAACACATTTTTAATTGAATGACTGTCGGAATGCTTAGAGAATCTATTGTGATAATATGGTGGCTACGAGTAATTTCTTTATCTCAAGCTATTCAAGAATCTGTTTATAATCCAACTTATTAAAATTATGATACAAGATGTACGAGGCTATAAACAATGGCGTTACGTTCTGTACGAAGTTCTGTTGGTGAAGGCTGGACCGTTCACGATCCTCGTTATACTCTGAGTGCTGGGGCCATACTTTCAAAATTCGCTAAGTGAACGTAAGTACTTACGCTCTATTTTCTTGTCTGTGATTGGTGGATTTTGCTTGAAAGGCCGTCAATGATTGGCTGATGAATTTACGATCTCTTAACTTTTTTTGAATGTATAGGCCCAGTTGTTGGAATTACGTACTCTTAAGAACGCGGATAACGGTTGTCACGTAGTTCTTCTTGAACAATAATAAATATTTCATGTTATTATTACTTGAAAAACGTTAGCATAGTTATATAAAGTGCAGCAGTTTTGTTCCTGGTCTCTGTGCATCGAGGCTCGTTAGATATTAACTCCATTGAGCTCAATTTTATCAGTTAAAGACTTGTTGTTTAAACTTCCATCTCTCAGTAAGACAGTTTTGTAGTTTCAAAATGTAAGTTCATATCATTCTTGTCTGTAAATTTTTATTTATTTCTATTTCCTCCGGCATAAATTTGCATCACAAATCATTCGTGATGAACTATTGTTTCATAACAAAAATATTCACTTCCGATTACCTCATCAATTTTCCTGTTTCGAGATCAATCTTTTCTCCCAAAACTCTCATCCTCTGAACGGAGTTACAGGCCAAACTCCCCAATTTTGAGGCCATACTCCCCAATTTTTGAGGCCATACTTCCCGATATTTTGAGGCCATACTTCCTAATATTTTTAAGCCATACTTCCCAATATTTTGAGGCCATATACTTCCCTACATTTTTAAGCCACAATTCCCATTATTTTGAGGCCATATTTAACAATATTTTTAGGCCGTTATTCCCATTATTTTCAGGTCAAACTTCCCATTATTTTGAGGCCATACTTCACAATACTTTGAGGCCATTCTTCACAATGTTTTGTGGCCATACTTTCCAATATCTCCAAACAGTTCAACTTCACTTCAGTAAATTGTATTTCCCCCACGTAAACAGTTCAGTCGAGTTATTTCGAAGCATTTCATCGGATGTTATGGAGTTTGTGTTGTACTATACTTCCCCTGTCAGCTTCTTCGTGATGCACACTTTGTGTTGTTATCTCTAGATGATATAGAAATAAATATGTATATAATTAGATCTTGTAAATAGCTTGCTTAGGGTAATGATGCTGTGGGAACTTGAATGATCTTCAATACTAAACTGATACGAATTTGACTCGCCAACATCAATGCAGCCAAGTTCCATTTGTTCATCAAATTATCCGTACGCCTAGAATTTCCAACAAGGTTCTAGCAGAAAATTGATGCGATTTTAATGCGTCATGTGCCATCTTCCTTTGCATTAAAATTTTCAGCATTTCGGCAAAGACGAAATGCTGAAATTTCAGCATTTTTTGAGCATTTTGAAATTTCAGCATTTTTTGTGTTTTTTTTAGGTTTTCGTGTCAGTCACGCGATAGCTGCGACGCCAGTAGTTCCTATACAGAAATAAAAAATGCTCACGAAAAATTTGTTTCATTATCGACCATTTTGTTTTTGAGAAGTTAAATTAAAATATTTCTTTCACGGAAGCTTCGATTGAATCTGTAATTCGTTTATAGTCCACTGATCCTCGGAGCCTTTCATGCTGTGTGTGACACCGTAGGCTTAATTTAGTTGATTATTTTATAAATTTTCAGTAAATAACGTCACCTCAGTTGATCTTCAGCTTAACAAAATCATTTATCTACGGTTTCGATACCTCGTAAATTTGTCATACTGAAGGCAAACGAAATTTAACCGAATATGTTTATACAGAAAAAAAAACTTGGGCCACACATAATACATATAACAGCCGCTTATCAAAAATTTTAATTTGCAAATTTATTGGACATACAATATTTGTGCCATTAGATTATATATTTTCTGATTAAATCAGTATTTCATGCAATATTTTGCGCTTGTCTCCCTACGTCCGAACGCCCTCGGCTTTTATGTATCTAAATAATCACTCGATTGATCACATTATTCACAATGCAGTAGCTATTCATAATGAAGCTTTTGAGTAATACCTGTGATGACAAACCCTTTCAAGTTGAGGTATACAGCAATCATTCTCTTCTGGTCTATAAGTTTATACAAAAAATATTCCTGGACATAATTCCTAGCGTTGAGCGGGATAAAAAAAAAAAACTAATGTCCTCGCGGCCACGACGTCGCATTCGCCCTCGGGTATTATATTAATTATTTTTTCCTTAACAGATGCGCTGTTGTCCGGACACTTTAAGTCTCGAATAAATTCCCAAATAAATTATGTCTAGAAAAGAGAGAAGAAATCAGTCCTCGCATTTCGGGGCAAGGACTGATTTGTATTCCTGTTGTTAGATGGCTTACGGTCTGCGAACTCTGGATAGAATGTTTAAAGCATGGTTGAACCAGTATAAGGTTGACCCATGAGAAGCTCACTTGCGCTGATGAAGCTTGTTGTTTGCCTGTGACGTCACTGATCTCAGTGACGTCACGGGCATAAGAAAACCATTTTTATTTGTCATTATTCCATTTTTATCTTTCAAGTACGTACGGTAGGTCATTTCGAATTAAATTCATGACATAAACAACTCCTGTGATTATTTTTTTGTGAATTTTATTCGCAATATCCAAACTAAATTTTATCTAACAGCAGGAACCTTTTCTTCCTTATTCTGGTATGTCAATAGTCCCATGAAAAGCCCCCAAAAAACGTTGGACTATCGGTTGCCAAACAAGTCCGATAATTATTTCTTCATACCAAGTTGAAAGACTTGAGTGGCCACTCTCGATAAGCTTCACAAATGCAGCCTAGCTTCCGATTGCAGCATCAAAAGAGTGTTTGGACAGTAAAGGAACGAACAATTTGCAAAGTCATGTTTCCGTGACCGCGAGGCGCGAGTACGTTGCTTCGAGTCACCTACATGTGGAACAGCCTCCCTGATTGCATCGTTGACGCTCCGAGTATGAACATCTTCAAAAACAGACTAGACGAAGCTATGCAGGAGCATATGTTCAGTCTTGAAATGCCTAGCACCTTACGGACCAGGCAATAAGTCCAGCAGCTATCTCAATTAATTCGTCAGTTATGGAAAGATCGGGTTCCAAAGGCCGGATTCCTTGCGAATCAAGTCTGGAAAAGTACAAGAATCGGCAACAGGACATGGGCCTAAGTCTTCAGTGCCGACATTTCTATTCTATTCTATTGTGTAAACGTAGCACCCAAAATTAAGGGAGTGAAGACGACGGAAGGGACTACGACAGCATCTGCGCGTGCGTGAGTGAGACTCCATCCCTCCCTCCGATTTCAAGGTCATTGCATGAACTTACGGCTCTACACGGTAACAATCTTTACCCCTACGAGAATTGAGGTGTTTTACGAATAAATATAATCTCACTAATCATTATATAATTTTTCTGTTTAGTATAATATGGTAATAGAAGCAAAGAAAAGCAAACTAAAAAGAGGTTCTATGTTTATGCCGCCATCCCGCCAGCAGATCGACTGAGCTTGAGCTTCTACACACACGGCAGTGACGGCAGCGGCACTCTCGGCTCACACTCAGACTCAGTTGCAGTCGAGCTGTAGTTTAAGTAGGGTTGTGGAAGTGCCGCGTCAATTCGCAGACTTGTGACATGCTAAATTGATTTGTTTCCCTAAGAAATTATCTTCTCTTGAAGTTTACTTCCTTGATACTCTATTTTTAATACATTTCAGACAACCTTCAAGAATCTTATTCCAATTTATAAGCAAAGTTATCCAGTTTTGCCGTGTTTAAACTTAACTAACTTTTGTTTTCTTACGGAATCAGCTGACTGCATTGGACGTGAAACGTTATTTTTACTTTTTTTTATGCAGTCATTTACACGCAATACTAGTAAGGTGTAACTTGCCCTCAAAGTTCGTTTGAACCAGACGCCTCGATAACTGCTTCGTCGAATAATAATGATAATAATTGCCTGTGAAACGTCTGGCTAATAGATTTTCAAAACGGAACCTCTTCCTTTCAATCAATGTGCCGTCGGATTTTTTTCGCGTCAACTCCGGTTGTTTGAATGTTTAATAATAATCAATGGAAACTGATACTATTACCAGTTACTAACTAACGGTTCTATCTAGGTAGTGGTCTGGAACAGTTCACAAGCAACAACAAAAACAACTTGATGGACTCTATAAAGGAAGGAAACTTGCAAGTGAGGTCATTGTGAGGTACTCATCATAACCAAGTTTTGATATTCTACAATTCATTCATTACAATTACAGACTGACGTTGAATGCAAAAATAAAAAAAATTTTCTTTTCTTGGTTTCTTGTTTACAAATGAATATTTCATACATGTACCTCAACACAATACACAAATAGGATCGATTTTCCATGTGGATGTGAAGGGCGATTGATTTCGCTTCAATCGCTTGTAAGGAATTTCTTCTCATATTTCATTTATATTCATATTATATTTCCTTTAGGATATGTCGTGCATATATATATATCCCGCAAATTACTGGCGACTCGTGTTGCATTTGCGTTAGTTTGATCATTCGCTCTCAGTTGTGTAATAAATACAATAAAGAAACCTTATAAAAATAGATTTGAATGTTACTGTCTGACCTTTCAGTATTGGTACTGTTCTTATCAAAGAAAATACATTCTCCTAAGAACCAAATTGTCGGTAATAACTAACTTTCGAGTGTTTGTGATCTGTATGGGTAACTAAGTTAAGAAACAAGAAGACATCAGATTCTTATCGTAATTTAGTCGAGTAACCGATTTCATGCAAACTTCGTTTGCGTAGTTAATGTTTGTTGTTCAGTTGTGACCGACGCCGTTGATTGCGTATCGAACGCACGATATAGAATGAATAGCACTCTGCTGGTGCAACTTCTGATGTGACTATAGGTCAACTGTCGTGATTGTTCTCACAGAATGTAATCATTGTGTATCAATCGAAACGTGATTAACAAGTAGGTCAAAATATCTTAATTCAAGATGCAAATTTCATTTAATGTGCTAGCAGCTAGCTTCACAAGAAAATAATTTGACTTATAGCTTCTAGAAAGGCAAAAAAGGCTCAAGATTTAACAGGGATACGTGAACCTTTCTTTTGTACTAGTCATAAACGTGTCGTTTTGTGTAGATGGTTACTAAGCGTTTTGGACATAATTGAAAGGAAAATTAATGTTATTGTCTCAACATAGATTTACCATACAACCAATAACCTGATCGTTAGCAGATGTCATCCAAATTTCATTCATTCATTTCAAACGGAATTGAATGATTTTTTTCTTCGAAAGCGCTAGTAAACCATTCTACTACTTACTCTTTACTCAGTCATGTGGCTTATACTGGGCGTTTTTACCATTCAATTCTTTTTTAAGTTCTCATATCGATCTCAATCATCTCACCTGTACTGCCAAGTTGACCTCGAAACTACTGCGACCGAATACCTGCTGCAGCCATCAGCCACTTGCTCGTGTTGTCGGCCATCAGTCTCTCGCAACCTGCAGTGCTGGCTGATCGGGAGCAGGAGTTGACATTTGTACCGTAATTACGCCTAGCCGGCTTTCGCCTTCTTTCAACTTTTATAGTTTTCAGCCTGACACATTATTCTTCTAAATCCAGTTCTTTCTAGATGGGTACACATTAATCGGTTTTTCGCAGGCGAAACATCGTGCGTTTTGCGCAGCTAGTTTTTAGCGTGCATTGTCGTAAAAAAAAGTTCAAAACGGGTTTCGTTTGAGCGTGTATGCTGTTCGCTGATAGCGGTGCAGTTTATCCGGTTCTCACAGCACCACAATTTTGCGGGTTTGTGCTTCTCTCTTTTTCCAGTGAGCATAAATACCTGCATAGATCAGACATTCGTGCAGATGAAATTCATCCTTAGAAAGTTGCATTTGACACTGAAAGTGTTTACGCGGAAATAGAATACGTGTCAGCGAACGCGAGTATGTACCTATTTAAAATGATACGAAAAATTTGAAGGTATATTGGTGTAATCGCTACATACTTTTTTTGTATGAAATTTCCAGAAATAACAGCAAACTCTATTTCTGCTTACGCAATTAGTATTACTTTATTCTCAAAAGCTGTATTACTCTGCACTACGGCACCGATATGCCTACCCTTCGATAGATTATATACAAAACATCTTTGACGACGCTGCTGTTGAGATACACAAATATCAAGTCCGTGTTCCTAATAAAAACAGGCAACATTTCGCACTTCCTCGACCAAAAACTACTGCAACTCACCACTGTTGACAGCAACAACTGTCGTCGACATTATTCGTCGCATCTTGATCTCTGTAAGATTCCTAGTCCGCTCATCTCAGTTACTTTTATCAAGTCTCTCCTTGCCCCACTTCCTACTTCGGATTTTTTTTCTCCGGGCAACTGTTCCTAAAATGCCTGTTATTTTCGCGTCTTGTCACTCACCTCATACCTCAGCTCTCATAGTCGTGAGTTAAATTTAGCCTCATCGTTTTTTCCTCTTTTCCTTGTTTTTCTTGAAGTTAATCAATCAATACGCTATTCTTATACTGCCAAAGACATATTCATTGATTAACGTATTTTCGCTTTTATATACTTCCAGGCATGTTCAGGCGCACGGTGAAAACGTTTCCTTTTCCTTCCTACTTGTATTTTGCGTTTGAACAAACAGGGCCACCCGATTTGCACAACACAAATGCACAAGCAGGGTACTTATTATCGCTAGAAATAAAGCAGAGAACACTCAACAAAGCCGTTTATAAACCACACATTGGAATGCAAAATACGTGCTAGCATTTCTAATAGAAAGTTCACCAGCTGTATATGTTAAGAACTGTTATTGCCTCAGTACATGTAAGCGTATTTGACCTTGTGAAACCTAATTACATGATGGACATGCTGCTTCTTGTATACAAATGAATTCCCGAGAGGGCTTTTTTTGCCCACATACTTACTGTTAACTTGAAGATAATCTTTGGCAATGTTTAAGTAATTTCCTTGAAACTATAGAAACATTTTAACCGAATGATCACATAATTGACTTGTGATAGCATAGGCAACAACAAACTACGAAAACTTTGAGTGAGGATATTAGCTACATAATGAACAACATATGGGACATCGAGTTGAGAGATTGCCGACGGGTGGCAACATAGCGCTAGACGGGATGTAACTTTTTTGACAGCGAATCGTAACAAGGCGGCTGTGAAAAGTTAGGTATCAACTGAGTATATGAGTGGAAACGAGCGGAAACATAACTAAAAGTGGGTAAGAACATTATTGTAGAGTGGAAAAATGGGTGAAGAGTGACATCACAAATGCCAGAGAGCCGAAACATAAGTGAGCACTTGTGACATAACGGCCGACATCCTCAGTGTCAACGAGTCGTAACATTATTGACAAAGAATAGCAACATGAATGGGGCGATATACATAACAACAATTGTAGCTACCAGTGGCTGAATAAGTGACAGTAATGACACGTCCATGGTCACTACCGTCACTTATCTGAAGCTTGTCTGCACATACACGGCGCGCAAGCGTCGTTCGCACTTTCTTCTCCAGCTTTCATTTGCTTTATCGAAGCCTCGTGAAGTCTTTTTACCTGCTACATTCTTGAACGATGTTAAACACTGCTGATTTGACGCTGCAATAAGCGATACGCAAGTATATTCAGTGTTTCTGGATGTACAATGCAAGATCACTGCCATCTATGTTAATTAGGATGTACAGAACTTAGATCTTTGCAGCTTTACGCGACAGCGCGCTGCATGTTGTAATTCTGCTCTGCAAAGCTGACACAAACAGCTTTTATTTTAGTGTATACGCATAGATAAGTTCTACTGTGAACATTTTAGTTTAAAAACTATAAATTATTCGTTGGAATCTTGGTTAAAAACACACGCGCGACCTTGGCATTATTATCGGGGCTCATTTTTATCAGCATGCAGAGATTGCTGGTTTGAATCGAGCATCACTTCGCACTCTGACTTATATACCAGTTGAGATTGCTTTTGGTTCACCTTACTGTAAGTTCAAAAGATTGTATTTGCTAAAACCCTTGTCTCTTGATTGCTATTTTTCTTTTTTCAGGTCTGCGAGTGTCCGACTGCATCCATTTCATCAGCTGTTTCCACTTGAGGCTCTTCATAATCATAGAAGTAAATCGCCGTATCAGTGTTATCTCGTAGATCTGTTGTAGAACTCAGCAATATGCGGGGACCAAAAAACAGTTCGAGAAGAGTTGCAGGACGAAGTGGTGGTGTCTCTGAACGAAGAAGACTCAGTTCAGAAGAAGACGACAGGCCGAAGCTCAAAATGGAGAAGAGGGAGAAGCAGCAGGATGCTAATGAAATCGGTCTGAGCTCCGCGGCATTGTCTCTTCCACCAGAGAAGCTGGTGGCCCTCAAAGAAGTGAGTTGTGGTAATAAGACGAGTTTTTGTTTATCTTTGGAAGTACGGTGTGTGTGATTATGGCGCAGCGCATGGTTTTTTTCATCGCTTACCGAGTAGCCGACATCAATGTCATTTTTTGACCTGCTTTAAGATTTAATTTTACTTATTAGGCCTGTTTATCAAATCTTATTTTACTTTACCACATCAGGCCTATTCATCAGCGCCGACATCATTATGATATTACCATATTTTTCTTAGTTAAGTCAGGAGTAAGAGTGATTTGCTAATCGTTGTCTCTTTAATGACATTCTCGTCCATATGCACTTGAGTCCACAAACCACATCGCGCTCTAGCAACCCATGCTCTGCATGTTGTGGCTTCTGTGTCAACAACACCTCCACTGCATGTGTGTGTAGAAGCGTCTGTATGATGTTATGTTGTGGCTCGTCTTTTCGACATCACATTCAATATATAGTTTTTAAATCTGCCTTAATTTGCTTTTATATTCAACGTTTGTTTATGGACATATTACCTACAGTTGGTTTTTATTTTTATTTTACGTTGACAGCTCTCGTATAACAGAAAATCTAATTTATGAGTTAGTTAATAAGTTGAAAAGTTTATTTTACAATATACCCTCTCACATTTGCAACATGCTCATAAATACTCGCTAAATTGCGAAATCCGTCCTTCAATATGTGCAAGAAATAAATTCTAGTTTCTGCTGAACTCGCCATATGCACTTTTTAGATCCAATTTTGCAATCGTCGAAGACGTAGGTCTCCTTGAACGTTTGTGAATACAACATCACCTATGCAAGTCCATTAGAGATGGAACTGACTGGTGATTGTATGGGCTACGGTAAGTTGATTAACTGTACAGTACCCAACTTATGTATTAGCTTGTTGAAATCTCAACTATTAAACCAATTATTGTAGTCATTACTTAATTACTAGATTAATTTAGTATTCGTCTCCCATAACAACGGTTGTTCATCTGAGTTTTTTGTCTGCAGGTTGACTGTTCGTGGTAAACGACGATTTTATCATTGTTTGAGACCTTACTTGGTTCCATCAATATCAGTTTCAAGCGTATAAAAATTGGACACTCACCGTCTTCAACGATGAAAAAAATCATTCAGTTGTTTTATTCATTCAATAAATCATCTATTGTATTTCCTTAAGATCCTAAATTTCCGCAAAACCAACTATCTTCGGACCCAACAATTCTTCATTTTACCATTTTCTATCACTGCCGCCATGTTGTCAACGCTTGCCCACCGGACCTCTCTCTCTAAATGTTCTTCGTTTGGTCTGTGTGACGGCTATGTGTCTAAAAATTGTCGCTGTTTTTCTCAGGATGCTAGCATAATATAAATACATGGAAGTATTTTTTATACTCTTTTATAACATATGGACGCACAATAGCGTACTTGTAACGAATTGAAAACGTCGCGAGAGGCGCAGTAGAATGTTTAGGATCAGTTTGTGCAAATGTGGAATCTTCTACTTTCCTCGTACTCAGGGCTTGTACGATTATAGAAAAACCAATTGGAAAGACTTTGCCGTCTGAAATCTTCCTAGTTTCCAGCGTTACTAATCATTCGCTTTTATCGTTCTTCCGTGTAAGAAGGTAGTAGATTTCCTGAGCTCATTAATGCCAGAAGTCATGTCACAGTGGACATTACAAGACTTGAACGACGTAAGTTATTCTCGTTGTGTTAGCTCGTACTATGTCCCTCATGGAAGGATCAAAATGTGAGCTAGGATACGTCTATAAGAGCTAGCAAATTACAGACGTTGAAGTGTGAGCTACAGCGATAAAGCCTGGAACTTGTTTCTACATTACACGTGTTTTCTATTAAAAAAGACATGAAATTAAAATCAAATGACGCCAGTTCTACACCGTTTTAAATTTTCGCAATGATTTGTACAAATGTGTATCAACAAATAGGTAAGAGTATAAAATCAATTTCATAATCGTATACTGGTATCTGGGTAAAACTTCACAGCCTCTCGGCAACAATTGCTAGTGTTGGTTCATTCATATTCTAAGGATATTATAGAAGGTACCTACAGTATACATATTCTCGTATATATGAGCCATCTGTGTCGTCCATTGTACATTGCATAGCAGTTCTATTGTGTCAGAAGATTCAATGATGTGCTGGTGCTATTAAGTCCTTCGTTATGTCGTGCGTTCATCGTGGCGATAGGAGTGTTCATTAAAGAGTTTTATATAGGAGATGTTGCTAGGTCTAGAAAGAGTTGCTTCGATTTGGAAACCGTTTCTTAATCGCAAACTGTTTTGTTCTAGAAACTGTCTCTTGTCCTAGAAAGTTACTTTGAATAGAAAAAGTTGCAGTTCGTTGGTCTATAAAGCTTCTTTGTCGAGTTAGTTACATGTTCAATAAATAGTTAGTTTGTATGTCTGAAATACTTCAAGAAACAGCTTCTTAGTTTAAAACAAGTGATTATTGTTCCAGAAGCCGGTTTTCGGTCTGAAAACTGTTCCAAACCAAATGCCAGGCTGAATTTTAATCTTTCAAATTACGGCAAAGGTATAACGCGATTAGTATGCTAGGACACGTCTGTAGCTACCCGTCTTCTGACTGCGTAAACTATTCGATCGTCCACGTTGATGTTGCTAAGCTTAGCCTAAGCTTTTATATCCGTAGAAAGGAAGGCAATATTTACCCTCGTATTCTCGTAGGAAAAGGTTACCATGATTATATCTCCACCCAAAACTGTTGAATTCGGATTATTTGGCTGAATTTGAGCTGAAGTTACTTATTATATATAGAGTACCTCTTATGCAATACTGTTGAAGATACGGCGGAATGTTGATGTGTTGGCTATCGCTTGGCCCCGTGGATGCCTTATCAACCTGTTCTCTCACGACGCTTGATAAAGAACCCTTAAAGACGTACCGTACTATGAAATGATTTTTCTCAGTCTGGCTTCGTTCCGTCTTGGCGTCTCGCCTGGTATTGAGTGTCTCAGGGTCCAGACCAGGAAGTTGTGGATAAATACCATTAAATTTCAGGCATAATATAATTAATAAAGCTAATTAATTCCGTACAGAATTAATGAGCTAATCTGCGTTACCGTATATAGGCTTATTGGATTCCAACACTTTCACCCAAAGTAAGTAAGATACCTGCAGATCCAAGTATGAACCGTTCACACTTCAGCCTGAAGATCATTATCTGTAATTGCTGTCTCACATCTGATGAAGTCTTGTCATTTATGAGAAAATTTATTATTTAACTGTCACGTTATCGTTAGTGGGATATTTTCTTCCTTACACCTAAAATAATTTATTTTCCTTTGCGTTAAATGGCATTTCTCCGGCCATTATGGTTGAAATCCATTGAAACTTCGGCTTATCGTGAATGCACTGTTAATTTGTCTGATTTATTGACTGTATTTATGCACATTCCTAACACTATCGAAATGAGGTCTATTCGAATCAAGACCTCGTCTTTTGCTGCGATTTTGCGTTAATTTTCTCGGCGCAGTTTTGCTCGTTCAGTTTCGACAAAACGCCATATAAAGCGACGGCCTTGCGCGAGATCACTGTCACTTTTCTCGACATCAGAAGCAGTACGTGACATCAAAATAAGTTGACCCATTCTCGAAGTTTTGTGATACATATGACCGGTGTCGAGGTCGCTTTGAACAAGTCAATTCTCTTCAGCTGCTGTTGGAGTTTGGCGCTTTTGTTCTTCCATGTTAGCAAACAAGAAGTCGTTAACACACAACCACAGACCGCACGAACGTACTCTCCAGCTCAAATTGTTACCAGCATCAATGCTCACGTTCGTCAGGTTACATTTTAGGTTACCTCGTGACAGTTTGAATCTACTTTCGATTATTGCTTTGCAAACGCTCTCTTCCTCATTGCCGACTCCAGGTTCTTCAAAGCGAATTGTATATAGCTGATCCTTATGCCACGTAGACTTAAACTGTTTTTCAGCTAATGGACGAGTCTTTACTGGAGATTTTTGTACATAGTATTGTTTTTTGGGTTAATTTAAACGTTATGGATGCCCGAGATTATCTCTGTAATATGAAATTTTAGCATTAACGACAAATTCTTTTTTTTTCAGTTCAAGTCAAGAGTTGCAGGCCTTGCTCCTGAGGAGCAGCTTCAAGACCATTTCCTCCTCCAGTGGCTAACAGGTGATTATTTTGTTTCTTTCATGCACTGTACCTGAATTATCTTGAATCTTCATGAGAATTTTTTTGCATATTTTTAGCGCATTTTCTCATTTATGGAAAAAATGCCCTATTGTACTCATGTCCGTCCGTCTGTCCGTCCGTCCGTGACTTCACGTTTTCGTCAACGAGAAAATGCGCTCTGTCACTCACTGCAGTGAGTACTGAGTTATATTTTTTTTAAGTTGGAGCTGCATGGCTTGTCTTAGATTAATAAAAAAATTAACGTATAAGAGCATTCATTCGTCACTCAATTTCTCATCATTGATCTATACGTGTTTTGTTTATATCAAAGAATATAGTGTGCGTCAATTTCATTTGGTGTTTTTATTTCTTGCGTAAATTTTTTGGTTTATTGCTGAGTTTCGATAGGTGAAGATTTTGATCGACGACTAATTATACAAGATAACAAACAAACAGACCTCTGCCTCACTGTACTCGTATTGGGTTTCTGCGTTAAAGAGTGTACGATATTCTTCGGTTCAGTTGGTTGACTTGCCTCTTGGCTTCTACACGTGATCAAAAATGAGTTCTATCAGCTTAAAAGCATCATTATCGCTTCTTAAGTGAAAATTTGTAATCATTAATCACTGTTTTGGTGTGCTATAGATCACCTGAAAATCCTTAACCATTCAAGAAGAAAAAAAGCGTCTTCTAGCTGAACTGAAATCGTCAAAATTCCAGTTCATTTTATGCAGTTAAATTTTCAGTAACTTTTAAATGCCAAATCAGCGAATTTTTACTGACTAACCATTTAGTTTAAGGCGCTCCAAGTATATTTCTGTTTCTTTTCCAGCTCGAAATTTCAACGTCGATAAGGCCGAAAGCATGTTCAAAAAAGTAAGTATTTCTTCATCTGATCACCTCTCGTACGTGATGCTCTGTCAATAAATCCGAAATGTATTTCACGTAGTCAGCTATAAAGAGCCTTAAGTGTTTAAAAAGAAGAAAACGCCATCTAACTGAACTGAAACCGACACGATTCCGGTCTATTTCTTTCAATAGAATTTCCAGTGATTTTCAAACGACAAAGCTGTGAATTTTTTACTGCTTAAGTAAGACGTGATACGATTCAAACTTTGGATTGTCATGACCTTGTGTCTTTTTTTAAAAACAAAAGTGCTAGCTTGACTTGAATTTACACCTGCAGTCGTCTGATTCATTTTTATTGCGACTCAGAAAGGTTTGGTCCACACCCAACTTACTGGATTGAATAATTAGGTTAAGAATAACTAGCTTATATTCATTAAATGCCGAAATAAATGCTCTAACATTGCCTAAGTACCTACCGTTGTAGTTTAACGCAATCGATTCAACATTATAATAGCTTTGCGATCTTCTAATGGTTTGAACATATTTGTAAACAATGTATTGTGTGAGCAACATGTCGCTGTGTTCTGTTGACATTCACGTGAGCTGACCGTATTTACACTTTGTGTTATCTATAGTCACAATAAAGGCGTTTATTTACTTACGTTGCGCGTTAAAAAAGTTACGGATCTAGCAAGTATTTACATCCGCTGGTGAAAACATTGATAATAATCACGGTATGATACCTATTGACACGGTACATTGATGACAATCACGAGGTTGACAACAATTTACACCCTGTGTTGTTTAAAGTCTCAGGATTCAGCGTTCTTGAAAGTCTGGAATTTGACACGTACTCACACTGTGCTGAGTGGACAGTCTCGGGACTGTCACTCTTATCGACACAGTGAGTTGTTGACAGTCACGGTACTGGCTCATATTTACACTACTCGTTTTGACAGTCACAGTACTGGCTCATATTTACACTACGAGTTGTTGACAGTCACGGTACTGGCTCATATTTACACTACGAGTTGTTGACAGTCACGGTACTGGCTCATATTTATACTACTCGTTGACAGTCGCAGGACTGGCACAAGGAGCTGGACATGGACCACATCCTAGAGTGGGAGGCACCTGAAGTTCTCGTGAAGTATGTCCCTCAAGGTTGCGTGGGTTTCGACAAGTTCGGAGGGACGGGTGAGTGTCCGCTAATTTTACTTTTTCTAAATACAAGAAGTGTGTGCTAATGGACCTCGAATTTTCACACTGCCACCTAGGCCAAGTGATGAGGGACAACGATGAGGTACTAGTTGATGAGGGTACTAGTTCGGAGGGACGGGTGATCGAGTCTCCGCCAATTTTACTTTTTTTTGGGACAGTTCTTGAATTGCCAGGCATGTATTTGCACGGTTTTAATTTTTTCTTTAGATTTTGCTTATGTTCTAAAAAAGGGTCCTAGTTATGTTACTTATTTGTTACTTAATTATTTGAGGTTTTTCGGCTTTCCCTAAAATAGATACAACAGTATACCCGGAATTCAACCTACTTTTGGGAAATAGCGCACAAAATGCGTTATAGTAATCGTTTTAATGCTTACAGCATAGCGTGAAATACGCAAAAAAGAGCGGCTACAGAATTGTAGAATATTCAATCCTAAATATTCTGACGCCGACTTCATAATGTCAGAGACTTGGTATATGGTGCTTCAGTTATGATTGGTTTTCACTAACACATCGTGTTCCAGCCTTGATCGAACTTCGTTAACTTATTATCATCAGTTTTTTTAAATGCCTGCATGGCACCATATCGAACTCGGTGGAAGTCTAGTAGCTATTTCAAACCATCGTCAGTCTTGAAAACATCCTGTCAAAGGACGTGCTTTTAGATCTCCCGTGAACTGGTCACGAAAAGTACAATAATCGGCGACACGCCACATCAGGCCTACCCATCAGCGCCGACATCACTATATGCTATGCTATGTTATACCGATCGTGTTAATTCACTATCGTGTTTCACTAATTTATTATCGTCTCTCAGGTTTGATCGTACATCACTAATTTATTATCGTCTCTCAGTTTTGATCGTATATCACTAATTTATTATCGTCTCTCAGTTTTGATCGTATATCACTAATTTAATATCGTGTCTCAGTTCTGATCATCCCGCACGGGCGTGTGGATATACGCGGTATCCTGATGAGCGTCACTCCCACGGAGCACATCAAGTTCACGGTGCAGACCATCGAGAAGTGCAAGGTTCGGTCCATAACTGTGTAATAGTTATTGTACTTAATAGGTAATATAATGATAATAATTAATTGATGTCACTCGTTTGCTTAAATCGCAAATTAACTAAAAATTCAAAAGCAAAGAATAGTCCACAAAAATTCATATCTATATAGATTCTATAAAGATATGAATTTTTGTGGACTATACTTTGCTTTTTAATTTTTGAATAATGATTATCATAAATATTAATGGTTATTGCTCTCAATTTACTACACTCGCTCAATTATTGTGTTACTCGAGCTAGTGCTGAAATAGATGCATTATTCTATAGAAATAGTCATTTTTTCCCGGAAGTTATTGCCCGTTGCTTCAATTCGAGTGCACCTGAAGAACAGAGATTAGTTTCTCTTTTCTCTCAATTCGGCCACCGATATTTTCGCCCCGTTTGGTATTTCAGAAGAGACGTCTGTCTAATTTGAGCTTATCTCAGACTCGGACATCAATTTGATAGACATGTCTGTCTGTCGAACAGACAAAAGTCTGTCTGTCTGTTTGCATATACATGGACATAACCTCAGACATCAGTTTGATAGACATGTCTGTCTGTCAAACAGACAGAAGTCTGTCTGTCTAGTTATTATGTACACATGGACATAAAGGCAGGTGTTGCATGATGCAGGTGATGATGGCGGAGGAGAGCAAGAGACGAGGGTATCCTGTGTGCCAGCAGACGTGCATCTTTGACCTCGAGGGCTTCTCATTCAAAGACTTCACATGGAAACCTGGTGAGTATCTTTTAATAAATTATGTTCAATAATTTTGATTATTGAAATTTTAAGTATTATGTTCAATTGCTCATGATTTAGTTCTTAATGAAATCGCCAGAATCTGTCTTCACGTATGAAGACGAACTCTGAAATATTAGTAATTTATAATTGATTCAATCCATATTTTATATTAGTTCGTTCATTGTAGTATAAGTAATGTTAATTGCGATCTTCGAACGCTCAATTTATACTTTATTTAATTCATAATTTTTATTAGTTCATTCATTATAGTAGAAGTAATTTTAATTGCGATCTTCGAACGCTCAAGGAGATGTGCCTTCATATTTTCCAGCTGCTGCTAAATAATCAATTTTAGTCAATTGTGAGCTAGCTTATCTAGGCTCATCTGTTTGATCTGGACTGAGTTCTTGAAAACAAAAATCTAACCTACTCTCGTTTAGTGACTTTCATACAAAAGAAGTAAATATCACAAATAACTGCCCATTCATGTTGACAATAGATCTTAAATAGGCCATAATATCACAAATAACTACACATTAATGTTGACAATAGATCTTAAATAGGCCATAATATCACAAATAACTGCACATTCTTGTTGACAGTAGATCTTGAATAAGTCATAATATCACAAATAACTACGTATTATTGTAGACAGTAGATCTTAAATAAGTCATAATATCACAAATAATTACACATTCTTGTTGACGTCAGCCCTGGAGTCTGTCATCGCCCTCATGCAAGTGTATGAAGCCAACTATCCTGAGCTCCTGCGCGTAGGATATGTCATAAACGGTGAGATGAACAATGGCTTTTGTATTTATGCATCAATTTTTGGTCTTGTAATGTAAGTAGATCTGTTCTTAGAATTGTTATGCCTCAGGGGGGACTTCTGACGTGTGTTTGTGCGCGTCCTATGGGATTTCGCGCTCCTAGGGGGATTGTTCCTGAGCGCCCCACCGCTGAGCTCGCGGTGTCTGACTGCAGGTCTCAGTTGTGGGGTTAAGTTATTATGTAGGTAGGATTCCTCACGTTAAGTTGTTATGTAGGTAGGATTCCTTACGTTAAGTTGTTATGTAGGTAGGATTCCTTACATTAAGTTATTATGTAGGTAGGATTCCTTACATTAAGTTATTATGTAGGTAGGATTCCTTACATTAAGTTATTATGTAGGTAGGATTCCTTACATT